GGTACATGAGGCGGCCAACAAGCTCTGGGTACGGGCCACTCGGCTCTACGGACTCATCCGAAGGCAGAGCTGAGAGTGAGTGGCGAGTAGACAGAGGAGTGGCCTGAGGCGAGGAGTACGTGAAGTCGAAGCGCTGAAGGACCTGTTGCACCATGTGTGACTGAGTCAAGGTAATGGTGCGCTGTGCTCTGTCCCGGGTGATCTGCAAGCCAAGGTAGCTGCGCAGTTCACCCAGGTCTGTGCACGTGTGTCTCTTCTGCAGCTCGGACTTCACGTAGGCAAGTCGAGTAGTGTCAGCAGTGGAAAAGACCAAGTCGTTGACGTACACGAGAATGTAGAGCGGCGGCAAAGAGGTGTCGAAGCGCAGAAACAGCGATGGGTCGGCTGTAGAAGGAGCAAACCCAAGAGCCGCAAGTGTAGTCCTCAGTGTGTCGTGCCACTCACGGGGCGCCTGGCAGAGACCGTAGACTGGCCGTCGGAGGCTCCACTGGGTACCAGGAGGAAACGACCCAGTGAAGCCAGGTGGGCGGCGCAGCCAGATCTCCTCGTGCAGGCTGCCTTGCAAGAAAGCTGTGCTGAAGTCAAGAGAGTGAAGCTCATAGTCGCGCTGAGCGGCTATGTGCAGCAGCACCCGAAGAGTGGTCATCTTCAGGGTGGGGGAGAAGGTCTGAAAGTAGTCAACTCCCTGCTGCTGACTGAAGCCTCGAGCCACGTAACGCGCCTTGAAGACAGGCGGAGAACCCGGCGGCCGCTTCACCCTGAAAATCCACATGCCACTGACGATGTTCGCCCCAGGTGGGGGAACCTCGTCGACGTAGGTGCCGTGGACTTCCAGGAAGCCATCTCTGCGTCCATGGCGGACCGCCACTGTGAGGAGTAGGGACCCTCGATCGCCTCAGCGTACGATCGAGGAGTCGGGATGTCTGGTGCATCCGAGTCTCCCTCAGGGGCAATCAGCATGGACACGAGATGAGGCAAAGCAGCAGCAAAACACTGGAACTCCTCCTGCCTGTCCTGAAGGACGTCCGTGCTAAGAGCACACTCACCCCCGACGGACGGAGGATAGACAGACTCAGACTCAGCAACAAGACTAGAGGCGTAGTCTAGACGACAGTGAGCAGCGAAGTCGACAAGCTCATCAACTAAGGCAGACGCAGCAGTGGACTCAAAGGAAGGGTCAGTGACGACAGTAGCAAGGAGACGCGTGACAGTAGGACTGGCAGCACGAAGGGAGTCCCACTCCGGGTCAGCAAGAACAGGAAGAGAGGACTCGGGAGGAGAAGGCAAAGGGGCACGCAGCGGAGCAGTGGAAGGACGCAGAGACATCCGGTGCGTGCCGGGGACAGGCGGAGGACGCTGACGCGAACGACGACCACTCGTGCGAGCAGCACGGACAAGCGACACAGGACGAGACGCAGGCTCACGACGCTCCGTAAGACCTCCAGTAGGACCAGTGTAGGGAGAGGGAGCAAGTAGTGGGGAGGCTGGCTGTAACTGTGACTCGACTGGACAGGTGGCGGACACTCTAAGAGAGGAGCAGGACCAAGAGAGGACGGAAGACCAAGAACCTGCTCTAGGAGCGGAACGAAGTACGGCCGCGGCCGTGCAGTGCCCCCAGAACCAGCAGGAACAGCACTAGTACCTCCAACGGCAGCACCAGCGCCAGTAGCACCCCCAGCTCCAGCAGCGCCAACTCCAGCACCCTCAGAAGTACTAGCGCGAGCAGCACCTCCAGCTCCACTCGGACCACCAAAAGACGGAGCAGCTCCAGCTCCAGCACCTCCAGTAGCACCTACACCAGCAGCACCATTAGCTCCAGCACCAGGAGCACCTGCAGGCCCAGCAGCTCCAGTACCCCCGGTACGAGCACCTCCGGGACCCGTGGCACCAGCACCCTCAGCAGCAATAGAACCGTCAACACCAGCGGTACCTCTTGCTCCAGCAACATGGCTCCAGCGCCGAGCAAACCACTCGCGCAGTTCCTGAGGAGAGAGCAGCTCCCTCCGGGACGAAGCACCCGAAGGACCTCCAGGCCCAGTACCGCCACACGCCACACGAGCAGGCCCAGCACCCTCAGGCTACGCACCCCCAGGCTCCGCACCCCCAGTCTCAGCACCCCAAGTCTCAGTACTCCCAGGCTGAGCACCCCCAGACCCCGCACCCGCAGGCTCAGCAACCCCAGACCCCGCACCCGCAGGCTGAGCACCCCTAGCAGCACCAGAGTCAACAGCTACCTCGACAGGCTCGACTGCATCTACCTGGGACACACCTGAGGGGGCAGGACCCTGAGGGGGAAGGGGGTCTACCGGGGGGGGACCTGTCGCGAGGAAGAGCGGCGGCGGGGGGAGGGAGGTGTCAGTAGATCTGCACTGTGGATGCCCGATTGATCCTGGAGAGGGTTACAGGCGCGTTCGCCTGGGGGGTTATGGGCGCACTGACCCGCTACTGAAACAAGCCCTTTTATCCCAGTGGTCTAGTGGCTGGGATTCTGACATGGTATCAGAGCGGTCTCGGGTTCGATTTCCGGTGTATGCACATGTAGGCCGTTGCCGCTGTGCTTAGTCCTGGGCATCCCAGTGTGGGGGGGTGTCAGTAGATCTGCACTGTGGATGCCCGATTGATCCTGCAGAGGGTTATAGGCGCGTTCGCCTGGGGGGTTATGGGCGCACTGACTTGCTACTAAAACAAGCCCTTTTTATCCCAATGGTCTAGTGGATGGGATTCTGACAAGAGGTTGTGCGGTAGGGGAAGAGACGGTAGTACGGAACCGACTCGTCAAACGTGACGTCCTGGGAGGACAGAAAACGTCACGAGGTGGGGTGGTAGAACTGCCAACCTGGCGCGTCAGGGGGGAAGCCAAGGAAGACACAGGGAACAGCACGGGGGGACAGCTTGTCCGCAGACAAGTCGCGGTCAAACGCCCGAGATCCTCAGACACGGAACGCAGACGCATCGCCAACCTTCCCGTTCCACAGCAAAACAGGGGAGGTCTTCGGCATGGAGACCCGGGGCTGAAGGTTGATCTGATGCGCTGCGTACCGAACCGCAAACGGCCACAGAAAATGGGGGGCAGCTCCATGGACCATGGACGTACGAGCGACGTCCATGACCATGCCAATGCGGCGCTCAGCAATCCCATTTTGCTGTGGAGAGGCCAGAAGCATGAATGTCTGGCGGATGCCCTGTGCACGACAGAAGGCTCGACGAAGGTAAGAGGAAAACTCACCGCCTCTGTTGGAGTGCAGACGCAGAACAGGAAAGTCCGAGCCGAAACTCTCTCTGAGCTGGAGACGAGTAGTGCGGATCCAGCCGATCAACACCTCAGTGACCTCACCCTTGCTGCGCAAGGGGAAGACTGTGGTGTAACGCGAGTAGTCGTCAACCACCAGCAGGAAGTAACGCTCGTGACCCTGTCCACGGACACGGGCTGGGCCCCACACGTCCATGTAAAGCGTCTACAGTGGAGCCTCTGTCGGAGGAAACTCGGAGGAGTGAGGAGCAGCACGCTGCCTCCCCTTGACGCAGGGAATGCAGGTAGGGGCAGGCCCGGGAGGAAGAGAAGGGAGGGACCGGGGGAGACCAGAGACAAGGACACGGGAGGCCATGCCTCGGAGACGAGGCTGCGAGGGGTGACCAAGGCGGTGGTGCCAGAGGAGAGTCTGGTGAGACAGGAGACGACACGAGCAGGGGGCAGACGCAGGACCGGACCTGGACGCTGTAGCAGACACCTGACCCGACGCAGCTACCTGACCAGACGCAGAGACTGGAGGAGACTCAGTGGTCAGTGTGTACAGGCTCAACCCCGGTCGACAGGTAAACGTGGCCAAGTGTCGGCCCGTCCGAGCACACGTGCAGTGGGTCACTCGCTGACTCGCAGGAGTGAATTGGTCAACCACCTCATCTTGTAGGTCAGCACCACTCACCAAGTTCGTAGAGAACGAGGGGAGGTAGAGACCTGACACGGTGCCAAAAGGGGCTGCCGGACACGGTAAGACAGTGGAGAAGTGGGCAAGGACAGGACCCCCAGAGGGGTGCGCCAGGGAGACCGCAACTGGCCGACTAAGCGGCGTGAGTGTGGTGCGGTCTTGAAAGAAGGAGCGGGAAGCACCCGAGTCAAGGGTGAAGGTGTGGGAGGCCTGAGCCGACGTGGTACCTGAGAGAGCAGGCTCACCAGCACCTGGGGCAGCAGACTCACGAGCACCTAGAGCAGCAGCCTCACCAGCACCTAGAGCAGCAGTACCAATGCCTGGGTCAGGCGGAACACACAGGTAACAGTCACCCTCATCACTAGTAGACACAGCATACATGGTAGCAAGAATAGCATCATAATCAAGATCAAAGATAGCAACCCCCGACCTCTGCAGCTTGTCAGAATGTTATAATTGTCTAGCCTACAGTGGGGTACTCTATAGCGAGTACAGCCCAATTAGGGTTTCCTATATGTATGCCAACTGCTGCTAGTGCAACCCCTCCTCTCTTTTTCATTCCTCATTTCTTTACACGGTTCTCCCCAGCGAGGGATCTCAGTGGCGTCAGGGAACTGGAGACGCCAGGCGTCCGTCAGGCGGCCGAAGCAGCGCTGGGTGGGGTGCGGGCCCCCGCACTGCTGATCCGTATGGACGCCGGTACGCAGGACGTAGGTACAGGGACCAGCACCCCCACCCCGCTGACGCGAAGCGTACCACTCACGAAGCTGCTGGGGGGACGGGGTCTCACAAGTGCGCTGCTGCTGCTGGCGCTGACCACCACCGGAGCCGCCCCTCTGCGCAGAGCCGCCGCGACCAGTCCCACCGCTGCCGCCGCCACCTCCCCCGCCGCCGCCACCTCCGCCTCCTCCGCTCCCACCACCACCGCCGCCGCCTCCTCCGCCTCCACTGCCGCCACCGACGCCCCCACCCCCGCCACCAGTTCCACCACCACCCCCACCCCCTCCAGCGCCTCCACCGCCACCTCCACCGCCCCCGCCAGCTCCTCCAGCCCCCTTGCCTCCCTTGCCCTTGCTAGGGGCGTCTCCCGCTAGGGGCAGACGCAGCTCCGACCGACTCGAGGCCAACGAGGTCGGCCGCAGCAGCAGAGGCAACAGAGGGCAGGAAGGGGGAGGGGGAACACCCCTCAAAGAAGGGAGTACGAGGGTCACCACGAGAGGCTCCTACAGCGACTTTGCTCTTCTCAGCTGCCAGGAGGCGCTCCTCGAGGAGGTCAACGGTAAGTGTGGTGGGGCAAACAGAGAGGAAGTGGTCCCTGACCGAGCGAAGGGAGTCAGGGAGCCGGGTGACTACGTAGTAGAGGGTGGTGTACATGGGGGGGGGGGGTTCTTGGTGCAGAACTCAGCAGGGAGCGCAGCATGAGGCGACTAAGAGCAGCAGTGGCAGGGGAAGAGTAGCGTGCAACTACAGCGTCGTACAGGGTCTTAGCGCTCTTATACTGACCAAAGTGCGCGCGCTCAGAGGACGGCAAGTGACTATGAACAGCAAGACGGGCAGCAGCATCACATGTGGCCCACTGTGAGCGAACAGTGCTGTCAGCATCGGCAGGAGGGGCAGGAGAGGCGCCAGACGTGAGATCGAACAGGGAGAGACCATCTGTCCTATCGCACTGTAGGAAAAGCTGTAGGTCATCGACCCAGACCTCAAAGTCGACAGCTCGACCCTCAGCATCAAAAGTGAGAACATTAGGAGCAGCCATGGCAGCAGTGGCAACAGCAGGCTAGCAGTAAGAGCAGGGCGGTGGTAGAGGCGCTGCTCAGGAGTGCTCTTACCAGGGCGGGTAGGTAGAGGCCCGCAGGTGGTGAGGCAGGGCCGAGGCGCGCCGGCAGGGACAGGGCCGCAACAGTGGCGGCGGCGGCGGCGACAGCGGTTGTGGCGGCGGCTGCGGCTCGACAGTTGCGGCGGCTGCTGCTGTAGTCAACGGCCGCGGCGACCGGGGCCTCGGCTGTGGTGTTCCGGCGGCTGTTGTCTCGGCTGCGGCGGCGGCGGCTACGGCTTCGGGAGCGGCAGCGGCGGCGGCAACGGCGGCGGCGGTCGGCAGCAGAGGCGGCTGCAGTCGGCAGCGGCGGTGGCTGCAGCGGTAGAGGTGGCCGCTGCTGCTGCTGGGACTGGGGAGGGGCCGCTTAGGGCGGCGACGGGGCCGCGAATGGGCCACGAGGGGCCAAAAAGAGCGGGGACGGGGCCTCAACGGGCGGCGACGGGGCCGCGAAGGGCGGCGACGGAGCCGCGAAGGGCGGCGACGGGGCCGCAACGGGCGGCGACGGGGCCGCGATGGGCGGCGACGGAGCCGCTAGGGGCGGCGACGGGGCCGCGAAGGGCGGCGAAGGGGCCGTAACGGGCGGCGACGGGGCCGCGAGGGGCGGAAACGGAGTCACGAGGGGCGGCGACGGGGCCGCTAGGGGCGGCGACGGGTCCGCGAAGGGTGGCGACGGGGCCGCTAGGGGTGGCGACAGGGGCCGCGAGGGGCGGCGACGGGCCGCGAAGGGCGGCGACGGGGTGGCGCGAGGGGCCGTGAGAGAGGCCTCTAGGAGGGCACGACGGGCCGCTAGGGGCAGGGGACGCGACGAGAGGGCGGCCCACGGGGCGCGTCTCGGGCAGGGGCGACTCGCGCTCCGGTCAGAAAAAAAAAAAAAATCGATTATTAGTGGTGGGCCCTAGGAAGCGTTCCCACCAGGGAACCTGCTCTATACCATGTGAAGAAATGAGGAATGGATTGACTAAGGGAAAGGTTGGGTACAAGTACAAACCTAGAAATGTGTTGTACCCCATATGTGCTACCCCACTATAGCCTACACAGGCTAAGTCATACAAGTCTAACACATGTCTCTACTAGTGCAGCCGGGAACGGTCCTAGACCAGGTAGGTGAGACTCAACTGGTGGAGCAATGCGCTGGCGAAGTCGCGAGGGCCAGTGCGGTGTAATAGCGTGAGGACCAAAACGCTCACGGTGGAGGTTGTCGAGTCGACGGTAGCAGCTGGACGTAGAGTGGGCAGGACTCCAATAGGTGGTGCCAGCACCAGGGCCTGTCAGGGCCCGGTACCCGCAGGGGCCGACGTCTCGCCCACTGCTAGCTGAGTCACTGCTGGGGGCTCCACCCTTTGGACCCGCAGGTCCCCACTGCTGGGAGTGCTGCGGCTGGCCCTGCTGTTGTAGAACTCGAGTACACGCCATGTGAGCCTATGCTGCTGCTGGTTCTGCTGAGGGCAGCCTAAGCTGCTACTGGTGTGCTGGGGGCAGCCTAAGCTACTGATGATGCGCTGGCGGTAGCTGTTGAGAATAGAACGAGAATGAATGAACTATGAGTGAAGTGAGTACAAATAGCAAAACCCTAATTGGGTTGTACCCCCTATGGTATACCCCACTGTAGCCTACACAACAGCATAAGCTACATATATGTTCTGACACACCCCCATAGGCAAAGTGGGGGAGAACTAGGGGTCACAAGACCAGTCAAGCAAAGCAAAGCAAAGCTCAGGGTGGATCACAAAGTCACCACACCGTCCGAGCACAAGAGCAAGGCCACAAGGCCAGTTCACATGCAGGAGTACACACATATATATATAAAGCTAGACAAGCAAGAGCAGGTATATATATGTGACAGTACAAGTAAAGTCAAGAGGAGAGCAAGTGAGGCAAGACAGGCACAAGACCCAGCTGGGTGCAGAAGCGCTGATGGTCACAAGGCGCGAGTGCCTTGGTGAACACATCAGCAGTGTTGGCCTCAGAGGCCACGTACGCAAGCCGCAACTGTCCACGCTGCTGTAGCTCACGAGCAAGGAAGTAGCGAAGAGCAATGTGCTTCGTTCTGTGCTCCAGACGCTGCTCTCGACACAAGGCCAGCATGGCCTTGTTGTCTACGTACAGCACTGGAGGAGAACGAGGCGGCTCTCCAAGGTCAGTCAGCAGGTAGGTGAGCCAGCGAAGCTCCTGTGCAGCCATGGCCCCTGCGTAGATCTCAGCCTCACAACTCGAGCTGAGAACCGAAGACGAGCGAGTAGCCCGCCACGAGACAGAGCCGGAGCCAAGGCTGAAGGTGTAACCCTGTGACGACCGCTGCGTAGCCTGGTCGTCAGCCCAAGAAGCGTCCGCGTGACCTGTAAGTACCACTGGACTCCGCCCTCCAAGCACTAGCCCCATGCCCGACGTACTGCACAGGTAGCGCAATACCCTCTTCGCTGCAGCCATGTGCTCTGGTCGGTGTCTCCCAGGAGCAACATAGCGTGCAAGAATGCTAAGAGGGTATGCAAGGTCAGGTCGTGTGCAGGTCATCAGGTACATGAGGCAGCCAACAAGCTCTGGGTACGGGCCACTCGACTCTACGGACTCATCCGAAGGCAGAGCTGAGAGCGAGTGGCGAGTAGACAGAGGAGTGGCCTGAGGCGAGGAGTACGTGAAGCCGAAGCGCTGAAGGACCTGCTGCACCATGTGTGACTGAGTCAAGGTAATGGTGCGGCGTGCTCTGTCCCGAGTGATCTGCAAGCCAAGGTAGCTGCGCAGTTCACCCAGGTCTGTACACGTGTGTCTCTTCAGCAGCTCGGACTTCACGTAGGCGAGTCCAGCAGTGTCCGCTGTGGCAAAGACCAAGTCGTCGACGTACACGAGGATGTAGAACGGCGGCAGTGAAGTGTCGGTGCGCAGAAACAGCGACGGGTCAGCAGTAGAAGGAGCAAACCCAAGGGCCGCAAGCGTAGTCCTCAGTGTGTCGTGCCACTCACGTGGTGCCTGGCGCAGACCGTAGACTGGCCGTCGGAGGCTCCACTGGGTGCCAGGAGGGAAAGTCCCAGTGAAGCCAGGTGGACGGCGCAGCCAGATCTCCTCGTGCAGGCTCCCCTGCAAGAACGCAGTACTGAAGTCGAGAGAGTGAAGCTCGTAGTCGCGCTGAGCGGCTATGTGCAGCAGCACCCGAAGAGTGGTCATCTTTGGGGTGGGAGAGAAGGTCTGAAAGTAGTCAACTCCCTGCCGCTGACTGAAGCCACGAGCGACGTACCGCGCCTTGAAGACAGGTGGAGAGCCCGGCGGCCGCTTCACCCTGAAGATCCACATGCCACTGACGATGTTCGCCCCAGGAGGGGGAACCGCGTCAACGTAGGTGCCTGTGGACTTCCAGGAAGCCATCTCTGCATCCATAGCTGCCTGCCACTGAGAGGAGTAGGGACCCTCTACGGCCTCCGCGTAAGAGCGCGGAGTCGGGATGTCTAGTGCATCCGGGTCTCCCTCAGGAGCAAGCAGTACAGACGCGAGATGAGGTGAAGCAGCAGCCAGACACTGGAACTCCTCCTGCCTGTCCTCTAGGACGTCCGTGCCAAGAGCACACTCACCCCCGACGGACGGAGGACAGACAGACGCAGACTCAGCAACAAGACTAGCAGCGTAGTCTAGACGACAGCGAGCAGCAAAGTCGACGAGCTCAGCGACAAGAGCAGACGCGGCAGCGGACTCAAAAGAGGGGTCAGTGACGACATTTGCAAGCAGACGCGTGACAGTAGGACTGGCAGCACGAAGGGAGTCCGACTCTGGGTCGGTAAGCACAGGAAGGGAGGACTCAGGAGGAGAAGGCAAAAGGGCACGCAGAGGAGCAGTGGACGGACGCAGAGACATCCGGTGCGTGCCAGGGACAGGAGGAGGACGCGGACGCGAACTGCGACCACTAGCGCGGGCAGCACGAACAGGCGACGCGGGACGAGACGCAGGCTCACGACGCTCACCAAGACCTCCAGTAGGACCAGTGTAAGGAGAGGGAGCAGGCAGTGGGGAGGTAGGCTCCAACAGTGACTGCGACTGGACAGGCTGTGGACACTCTACCGGAGGAGAAAGACCAAGAACCTGCTGCAGAAGCGGAACGAAGTACGGCCGAGGCCGCGCGGCAGCTCCAGACTCAGCAGGGATAGCACCAGCACCCTCAGCGGCAGCACCAGCGCCACCAACACCTCCAGCGGCAGGACCTCCAGCAGCACCAGCAGCAGAACCACCGTCAGGACAGACAGCAGCAGACTCAGCACCAACGCCCTCAGCAGCCCCAGCTCTAGTAGGACCCGCAGGCGTAGCACCTCCGGGACCGGCGGCACCAGTACCCTCGACGGTCGAAGAAGCTCCAGCTCCAGCAGTACGCCTCCAGCGGCGAGCAAACCACTCGCGCAGCTCCTGTGGAAAGAGGGGCTCCCGCCGAGACGCAGCACCAGGAGAAACCCCAGGCTCAGCGGCTCCAGACGTAGCACCCCTAGGCTCAGCAGCTCCAGACTCAGCACCCCCAGGCTCAGCAGCTCCAGACTCAGCACCCCCAGGCTCAGCAGCTCCAGCTCCAGTAGGACCCGCAGGCCTAGCAGCTCCGGGACCGGCAGCACCAGCACCCTCAGCAGTCGAAGGAGCTCCAGCTCCAGCAGCACGCCTCCAGCGGCGAGCAAACCACTCGCGCAGCTCCTGTGGAGAGAGCGGCTCCCGCCGAGACGGAGCAACCGGAGAGCCTCCAGGTCCAGCAGTCGCAGGCTCCGCACCTCCAGGCTCAGCACCCCCAGGCTCAGCAGCTCCTGACGTAGCACCTCCCGGCTCAGCACCCCCAGCAGCAGCACCCCCAAGCTCAGCACCCCCCGGCCTCGCACCCCCAGGCTCAGCACCCCCAGCAGCAGCACCCCCAAGCTCAGCACCCGCAGGCGTAGCACCCCCAGACTCTGCACCCGCAGCAGGACCAGACTCAGCAGCAA